CAATTTAAAGTAAAAAACTTTCAGCCAGGCAAATATTACTGTGGTAAGTGCCGTTTTTCTACCAAGGACCCTCTGTAGTATAAAAAGCACACGCTCCAGCATGAAGAGATTAAATTTTTTTGTATCCAATTCTTGGTACGCAGTCTTTGGCATGTGTCCTTACTCTAAAGTCAAGTTTATCTCCTTACCCATGCTCCTTCTTCCAGTGAACTTACATAACTTATATAAAATATCACATTTATCTAAGTGGCAAAAGTGGCAACATTTTTAAAGTGAGAATAGTTTTCATAAACATTGTTATTCACATAAAGTACATTTATGCAGTTCCTAATTAATTTCATTTATGTGTCTTTAAGTTTGCAAAAATGAATAATCTGCCAATTTCATATTCATATTATTAGTAATCTTGATTTACTTGATGAACAATTTATAATTTGAAATACTTTTGTTATTTAAATACTCACTAGACATTAAAATTAAATTACTGGTCTAAAATTGAGACAGAGATTAAAAAAACAACAACAAAAAACAACCAAAACCTAGTCAAGTTAATCCACTCTACCTGTTTGATTGCAGATTTTTTCCCACACTGATGGGCAGCTATCTGAGGTAGTGATATCCAGTACAATCAACTCTCGATTATCTATGGTAATGAGAGACAACAATTGCATGGATAATCCTAAAATTATAGTTTCAGCGTCCCTTCCTACCATCTGCTGTGGCCTGAGCATGTGCTTGGGTCTTTGGGGAGAAATGTATTTGGGATGGGGGTGGAGCCTCAGGCTGGCACGGGAGCTGGGTAAGAATTTGGTCATGCCACCTTGGCCAGAAGGGTCCTGGAGGAGCCTGGGAATGGGACTGTGTGGTTGGAGAGTCTGGGGGTGAGGGGGGGCCTGCAGCATGCGGAGTGGCTTTGCAGCAGCAGTCAGAAGGATGAGATGGCTAGTAAATAATAGGATGTGAGAGATCATGCACATTTGCAGCAAGGTCCCATCCATACTTTTCTGGTCAGTGGGATGTTAAAGAACCCTTAGAGGGCAATGGTAGCAGTGGAATAATGCACTAGCTCAGTTTTGCTTGCTGGCCACCCATATTTTTACTTGCCACAGGTGTGTGCTAATCTATAGATCAGATCTAAACACAAAGCAGGGTTTATTTTGAATAAGTTTCTGATTTTAGGAATTAAGGATAAATTTGTAATCATAGTTTTTAGGGATTTAAAAATCTTCTAGGTCAATTTTTAACTTTAAACTTAAAACTTTAAAATAACACAAGAGCCTTATGTTATTGGCAGAGTAAAATCAGAGCATTATGAAGCTGCAAAGTAGGAGTGATTACATAGCTCTGAAATTGACAACTAGCTATAGCCTGATAGCTTTTCTTTCTTTAAGGCAAATGTTATTCCCTAATTTTCTCAAATAATTTATATTTATTTACAGTCAAATAAGTTACATTTTTAATATGCTTGATTGTCTTTTGAAAATCTGGAAATGCATAATCTGTCAAAAATGTTTGTTAAAAACAAAACAAAATAAAAAAGAAACCAGGACTATAAATTACTAAAAATTATGTGAAAATCTTATAGTTATCAGCTGTTTTAAATTAATGTTTTCTGTTCTGTTAAGCAACTTAAAAGGGTGCAGTTGTTCTGAGGTAAATTACAGTATCTCAATCTAAAAGCTTTGGCCCATCTCCATTTTACAATCTTAAAGGCTAAAAATATTTGAATCTCTTAACTCAAAGTGTTACAAAAATTTATTATTTCTAATGGGCTAGTATTTTAGGGTCCAGTTTGCTGTTATATTTCTTGAGCTTAGATTTTTATTATAACCAGTAAGATTTTAATGGTACTTTTTTCATATATAAAATATTTGTAGGTCAAATAAAATAATTCTTCTAGTTTTATAAGGTGATGAATTCTTAAAAGAAATACATTTAAATATGGGTCAAGTTGTAATATGAACTGATGGCTACTTGATCATTTATATTAGACCAAAGAATATCAATGATTTAGTATTATGAAGATATAATGTTACAATTTTAAATCCGTGTAAACATTTATCTTTTCTATCTTTGTTTTCTATCTATAATGTTATGAGTGAGACAGATCAGCTAGAAATTATTTGCTGAAGATTTATATTTCTAGAAACTGGCTATAGACAATTTACTAAGAGAGTCAATCTGTATGTAATACTTCTTTCTTGATTATTTATAGACTTTAGACATAGTTATTTTAGAAATTTCTTTTTTCTTTTGGAGCAGCAGTTTTACACTTATTTATTTTCATTTAATTTTAGTATTTAATTTGATTGTGTTGTGTGACTCTGGACAAGTCACTTAACCTCTGTTTGCCTCATTCTCTTCAACTGTAAAATGGGGATGGTAATATCACCTAGCTCCCAGAGTTGTGAGGATTAAATGAAATATTTGTAAAGCTCTTAGCACAATGCCTGACACATAGTAGGCACTATAGAAATGCCAGTTATCGTCATCATCACCATCATCATCATCTTTGGGGGAGTAGTTGAAATGAGTAAGATTTTTCTTGAAAAAAAAAACCACTTCAATTTCTGATGATTAATTGAAATGGTTCCAATTAGCTAAGAGCCATTCAACAAAAACTGCTGATTACCAAATATTCCTCAACTCCTTCAGAGTTGGAGAGTCTTAAATGTATTCTGCTATTGTTGCTGTCAGGCTTCTCTTCTGCTGAACAACTGGCCTCTTTTAACCAAAAGTAAACTTTAAAGACTGTGTTTTTATTTTTAAAAATAAACAGATAGGGGCAGCTAGGTGGCGCAATGGATAGAGCTCCAGCCTTGGAGTCAGGAGGACCTGAGTTTAAATCTGGCCTCAGACACTTGACACTTTAGCTGTGTGACCTTGGGCAAGTCACTTAACCCCCATTGCCTTACCAAAATAAATAAATAAAATAAACAGATAAACTCCCCCCAAATGATAAATGCTTAAGTGTTAAGATAGAAGTTTATTGATCTTTGATTTTAAAACATGGAAGTTTATTTATCTTTGATTTTAAAATATACTTTCATGTTGGGTAGTCTGGACCTTTACTGGTTTTGAAATTCATATGGGTATATAGAATTGAGGGGGGAGTGGGCTTGGCCTTGTTTGGACTTTCATGTTATTGCTACAGCTTAACTTCTGAATGACAAGCATTTATGCTCTATTTGGAGGGCTGCTTAATAATTTGAGTATGGTTACTTTATGTTTTCTTTGTAGTATATGGTCACATCTTTTTATATCAAGACCTTTTTCTGTAAAGTGGCACAGTATATGTTAGAAAGTTGCTTTTCTGAGAATTTATTAAGAAAAATCCAGATATTTTAAATGTTTCATTATTAAAAAATCTGCCTTAATGTTTCTGAAATATCCTACAGACTCATGTTTGGTTTTGTTTTATTTTGTTCTTCGGAGGGAACGGTGGTTGTGAATGTAGGTATTGCCGGTAAAGCTTTATCTTCTTTAATGTTTAGAGTAACATCTTGGGGCAAAAGCACAAAAATTCAGCATTGGGGAATATAAAAAAAAATTATTTTCTTTAGAGGTTAAAAATAATCCTTTAGCATTTTAGAAACCTAAATTTGAACCAAAGCTTTAAACTTCTGACAGTTTAATAAAGGAATAATCAACATATAATATATGTGAATGTGATAGCAGTAAGGTAAAATAACTCAAGGTGCCCAGCATTTTCTTTTCATTCTTTTGAACATTGACCAAATCATCATAATTATCATCATCAAAGCACTTTTAAGTCCCTATCTTAATTTGGTGCTGTGATAGGAGTGAATTAAGTAAATACAATTCTTGATTAAGAATTCACAAAGACTTGACATATATGACAGGTATGTTAGTAGTATATACTATATATGTAAGGAGAATATTAATTTATAAGGTTGTGAATAAAGGAAAAATATAGGTTTGTATTGTGAAAAAGTAACATATTTTCAGTTAGTTGTAGAAGATACGTGCTGATTTTAGAGTCCTAGGACCTGAATTATAACAGTGACTGCCACTTAATACCTTTGAGACCTTGGGCAAGTGACCAGCTTTCAACTCCTGTAAAACAAGGGGGTTAAACTAGAGGACCTGTTAGGGCTCTTTTTGCTCCAGATTGAAGATTCAGTGATCTTACATATTTCACTGAGGAGGTAGGGTTATCTTGATTTGTTCCAGTGAATTGTGGTGGTAGTGGCGATGGCAACTGAGGAAGTAGTGGGATCAGGTTGGAGGCCGTTGCAACAGAGGAGAGAGTGTCTGAGTATAACTTGGCAAAAGAAGCAGATTTAATACATGAAAAGGGTGGACGTATTAGTAATTGTCACTTTTCTAGAAATTAATTCTCTCATTTCATCTGTAGAAATTAAACAAATTAAATCTTTGGATAAAAAAGTCTTTAAAAATGTGTTCTGTACTGTACTAAGTATAATGTAAATATCTCATAAATAAAACAAATAGATTGATGAAGTGTTCAATATACTTGAGTGAAGTTATTAAACTACTTAATGTTATGTTAAAAAAATAGGAATCTTTGCTAAACTGAAATACATCTTTAAATAGAAATAATATGTAGACAAATTTCCTGCTTACATTAAATTAATTTTATTAGTAAATGGGCATTTTATCATTAGTAGGAAGCATATTGGGAATTTGCTAAAATTTGACTAAAAGTTTTGTGACATTTGATATTTGCTACCTTAATGTGTATTGGGGAATATTAAGTGGAGAAAAATTATTCTCAATTTAAAAGAATTTTCTGACTAGACCTGAAATAGACATAATTCATTACCTATACATGATGATGACTTTACAGAATGGAGATTTGGGGGAGAGGCATAATAAATACAAAACAAGTTATCGCATTCACATTTGGTATAAAATCATTGTGTAAGTGTATTTTATGTTTGTGGATATGCATACATATTTATAATACACACACGTACAAAAGATATTTTTTGTTTTGTTCACATTGTATTTTACAGACGGTCGATATTCATAAAGAGAAAGTTGCAAGGAGAGAGATTGGTATTTTGACTACCAACAAAAATACTTCCAGAACCCATAAAATTATTGCTCCAGCCAACCTAGAACGACCAGTTCGTTACATTAGAAAACCTATTGACTATACAATTTTAGATGATATTGGGCATGGAGTAAAGGTATGTACCGTGTTTGTCAAAAGTAATTGAGAAAGTTCTAGAAACTGAACAACTTGATCATATAATATTATGTTCTTTACTTATTGTGGTATACTAACAGGTTCTGATTCTGCTAAAGCTATAAAAATCCCTTTCCTGCGGCTATTTACCTATCTTCTTCTAATTGGTGCTTGTCCTTTAAGGTTACCTAAATTCTCAAATTAAAAATTGGTCTTCTTTGCATGAATTGCATTTCTTTAATCTGTTATGGTAATAACTCATGTGATATGACACATGAATATCTTAGTCTTCCTATTGTATGTTTTGAATTCTTGAGTATACAAATTATTCAGCACATGACTGACATATTTGCTCCATTTAGAAAATTTATTAGCCAGGTTTCTGACTTCATTTGTTAAAAACAACAATTGTAGATAAAACATCACCCTGAATTTTTTCAAAATAATTTTTAGGCACTAAGGCTTTTAAAAATGCCTACATGTGGTAGATAAATTATTGCCATTGCTTTTATGCTAATTTTGACTTAAAAACATAAAAACATTTAAAAAATATTAAACTACATGTTTTATATAGATTGATTCGTTCAACAGATACTTAAGCTACTATGCCATGCAAAGCCTGGTGCTGGACATAGAGGATAAGGATGGAGTGCAGAATATAAAGAAATATAAGACATAGTTCCTCCCATCAAGAAGTTTTACTTAACACATTTTTATTGAGTGACAACCTTGTGCAAGGTACACTCTGCTAGCCACTAGGGACCCTCTGTCTTGGAAGCTTATATTCCAGTTTTTTCAGTGTTAAGATTTTTTAAAGATCTTTTGTATAAGTGATTCAGAGTATAAAGATTTAAGGTAAGAGATTCCAAGGCTGGATAGCTGTTCTTTATTCTCATATATAGAGTGTTACCTAGGGGGAGAGAATAATTATTACGTTTTGGTCTTTTAAATAAATCAGTTCTTTTTTATCTTGTCTTCAAAATAGTAGACAAGACAATGATATTTTTTGGATGAGTGGGCATTTTATAATAATTCATTTAATTACACCTTCTACAATGTGACTTTGAGGGGCAGCTAGGTGGCGCAGTGGATAGAGCACTGGCCCTGAAGTCAGGAGGACCTGAGTTCAAATGCGGCCTCAGACCAAACACTTGACACATTTACTAGCTGTGTGACCCTGGGCAAGTCACTTAACCCCAATTGCCTTAAAAAAAAATAAAATGTGACCTTGAAATTAAATTAATTGAATGTAAGAAAGTGAGAGAAAATGAGGATATTTTGTTCTGAACTTGCAATAGATAAAACTATTGATTAAATAAAAAGCAGAGAACTCTGTCTTTGTATTCTTAAAGCACAGTGCTTAACATAGTCACTTAATAAATACTTTTTGATTGATTACATATTCATTTTATAAAAATTTAGGATTGTATATACAATTAATACAATTATGGATAAACATAATTCATTCAATCTTTGTTAGTAATTGGACAAAAATGATTACCATTTTAGTTAGAAATTAAATGGAATCTTTTCCCATTTAGTTTGAATCAGAAAGTGAAAATGTAACATGGGTGTCGTGTGTTAAGTCCAACATCAATATGAGGAGTCTCCAAGATTAAGAGGTGACCAGGCTGCCTAAGAAGGGGGTAAACTGACATAGGTTGGAAAAACAGAGCAGGTCACAGGCTGATAGTGGTGGAATGGGGCCATGAGTAGAAGATTCACTTCTAGCTTGGGTGAGATAGGGAGACCCATTCTTCCCACTTCTTGTTTCCCCCAATAAACAAATAGTATAACCTTCCTAACTCCAGAAATATTTTAATTTACTCTAATTATCAGGAATTTTGCTTTAGGGTAGATCTGAGTACATTTAGGTTGCTCTACGAAGAACATTTACTAAACCAGGTACAAGCCAGGCAAGTTTCATTTTTTGGAAAAGTAATTAATAATGAAAATTTAACCTAACTTAGAAAACCTTTTGTGATTTATCAAAGACCAGAAAGAGGTAAGAGTACGTGGAGTACTACCTAATTTTAATAATGAAGAGGCACTTACAGGAACATAAAATAATGAATTTATGCTTCACAATTTCAGTGAATAAGATGTGATTTCTTTTCATTTTTTGTTTTAATTCTCAAAATAAAGTGTTAGTGCTGTAGGACTCCAGATTTTTCATTTGTGGTTCTGTTAGTTTGGGGACTTGTATATATTTAGGTACTTTTAAGTTTGGAATGAAGCAATGTCTTTTAAATCGTTTCATCTTTTAAAATCTCCTGTTCATGACACATTCTGCTTTGAACCACTCTTTCTATGATCTATTGAAACATTATTTTGTTAATGCTGAATGCTTAACTTTGTTTTTCTTTCTTTTTTCCTTTCTCTTCATATCCTGAAGTTCCAACTAACCTTTCAATGCTTTTTTTCCTTACCTCTTTTATTTGCTCCATTTATGCATTAAGTGGTTGCTTAGATTTAAGGTAAGAGATTCCAGGGCTGGATATCCATTCTTTATTCTTATACAGAATGTTACATATGGGGAGTAAAGATGCATTATTTGTAACTGATCCTTTAAAGAAATCACTTGTTCTCTATCATGTCTTTTTATATCTTGTCTTCAGGGTAGTAGGCAAGACTTTGCCTTTTTTTTGGATGAGTAGGTATTTCATAATGATTGATTTAATCACAACAAATATAACCTTCTAAAATATGGTTATGAAAAATTAAGTTTTGAATGTTAACAAAATGAGGACTATTTTCTTCAATTTGCAATAGGACTAACCATTGTAGTAGAGATCTGTTATCTTGTTTTATTCCTCCCCCTGTGTAATATTCTTTTTATCCTATGTACGGTGTGCTTTATATATTTTGTGACTCTGTTCCACTATTTATTGTTAATGAATGTGAAATATTCAGATATTTATAGGAAACTGAAGTGATTCAACATTTTTGTGTGTTTTTTTAAAAGTTGCAGTATCATAGTTTTTATTGGGGGAAATATTACCTTCCTTTCAAGTAAGGTATACAATAGTTACATTTCCTTAATTTCAATAAAACTTCTTTTAATGGAACTTTTTGAGCATTGAAAGTCATGATTGTATAAAATGTAAGAAGTTATAAGTATGTCATAATGTCACACACTGTGCTAAAAACTTTGAACAAAATGTAGATTGAGAAAATGGTTTCTTTTGTAACTTGTTTCAGTAATATTTCAGCACTTACATTTTTTTTTTTGGTAAAGAAATTTCATTTGAGTTGAAGAAATTGTACAATAGGACCTTGATAAAACATTATTTTCACTCCATTTTTTCATTTTTCCCACTTATCTCAATTTTAACCTTTCCCTTCTCTCCTGCATTTTTTGTTCTGCTGAGTTTATAAAATTATTTTTAGTTGATAATACAGTAGACAGGGAAATGATTCTAACCCTTAAAATGCTGCTATGAAAATCCTCTTAATACTATTAACTTTATAGGATTTTTTTTTTAACTATGAGTTTTCATGTTCTTAGAATTTGGTGTGAAAACTTTTATTGGTTAGTAGAATGATGTAATTTAAAAAAAATCTTTGTGCAAGTTCCATAAGTTTAACCCCTTTAAAGCCAAAGAAAAAATACACTCCATTACAGATGGAGGTCTTTTGGCAGATCCTTTTTTTGTTTATAAGTAAGGAAAAATAACTTTGTTTTTCTTTGAAAGTAAAACTTATTTTATAGATAGAATAGGGTAGCTTTGTTCATATTTTTGCCTCTCATCCCCTTGATCCAAATCTGTGTTTTATCTATCTACCTGATTGTCTTATTTGAGCTCCAACAAGGGAATTCTCTTTGGAATTATTTATATTATGTCATACAGATCTCAATATAGTCTGAAGTCCCACTACGCCAAACCTTTCTAGTCTTTTTATTTAGATGTAAAGACTTCTTCTCACCTTTCAATTTTCCCAGTAATTAAAACTTTTTTTTTTCAGTTAACAAACATCTGCTCTCTTTCCCTCCTCTTCCCTTGGGGTTATGGGGTAGGGGAGCGTGGAGCAGGCAGATAAATAGCAACACAACAAAAACCTTGCAACAAACATAGTCAAACAAAACACATTCCTAGGTTGGCTGTGTCCAAAAATGCTTATCTCACTCTCCATAACTAGTCTGTCACCTCTTTGTTAGGATGTAAGCAGGATTCTAAATCGTGGGTCTTCTGAATCTTCTGAAATCGTGGCTAATCACTGTATTGATTGTTGTTAAATCTTTAAAAATTATAAGTTTTTACAGTGTTGTTTTAATGTTTGATGTTGTTTTAAAATATAAATTATTTTCCTGTTTCTTCTTCACTTTGCCTCCATCCAAAGTGAAGTTCAAGTGCCACCCTCTCCCTTTTTCCCTTCCGTGTTTGAATAGACTTCTACTTTTGCCCACACATTATGTGAAATATGTCCCTATCTCTCTTCCTCATCTCTTCCTTAGTGTAACCTTTTCCCCACTCTTTTTCATTTTTCCTTTTAAGAGTATCAAAATTTTCTAGCTACTTGAAGTATTTTTTTTTTTTTCATCTTTGAACTGGAAGCTCTGGATGTTGTCTGTCACACTCCTTGGAGTTTTTACTTTGGACTTTCTTTCAGGAGGTGACCAGTGAATTCTTTCTGGTTCTAAGAGACCTGGGCAGTTTTCTTTCAAGATCCTCTTGAAATATGATGTCTAAGTTCCTTTTTTGGTTATGACTTAAATGATTCTTAAATGATCTCTATCTCTTCAGGCTAGTTGTTTTTGATATAAGATACCTTACATTTTCTTAGATTTCTTCAATCATTTGATTTTGTTTTGTTATTTTTTGTTGTCTAATGGAGTCATTGACTTATTTTTAGTCTTTTCTAATTGTCAGGAAGTCTGTTACTAGGTTACAATTTTGAGGTAAAGACTTCTTAAGATACATTTTTGTGTTATGTGGATTTGGTTTACCCTGATCAGTTTGGATTTCCAAGGTTATGAAGGACATGCCCTAAACTAATGGC